CAAAAGTAACGATGTACAGTAAAACCTTTGATCTTTGAATTATCAAGACAGGTAAATATTGTATATATTTATAATATGAAATAAACAACTACAGTATGACTTCACTTATGAAAAATTGTTTATTTGACATTGTCAAGTAGATGATATAATATAGACATGAATGATACCGGATTATTACATTTAGAGAAAGAAATGTGAATAATAGTAAATATCAAAACGTTTGAAATAACTTTCATATTAGTTATTTATTTCAACGTTTTACTGAACCATGATTAAAACATATATATATATATATATATATATATATATATATATATATATATATATATATATATATATATATATATATATATATATATATAGGGAACTACGGTAACTGAAATAGACTGTATTACAGTCTCTTCTATATTGTTTTAAATATTATTTTATCAAACACTAAAGTTAGCTACAAAAGAAATGAAAGCAAAAAAATATTTTGCAACGGTTTTATTCAAATTTCATAATCTTTAGAAGCAGGTATTCACAACCACTACTGGGGATCAAACGCAGGATATTGTTTAAGCGGAGCATTAAGATTTAATAACAAATGATAATTTTTTTTGATGATATCAATCTACTTTAAAGTTCATGTAACATTTAACAAAATCCTCTTCCATAGGTGAAATCCTAATGAGGAACGGTGAAGTGTACAGTGTCATATTGTATTATAAAAAACTACACATTTTAGGTCTCATGTTGAGATTGTGACATATAGATAGCTAAATCAGTACCCAGTGGTTTACAATTACACATATAATCAATTTACGATGTTGCATGGTCCTCACTCATTGACGTTCGTTATGCTTGTTTCAATTCCTCGGTGGATCAAACTCACCAGTCATACCTCAAATCTTCCATGGAACTTTGGTCCCGACAATTTCGAATATCTATTCCTTTTCTCAGTTAGTGAGGTGATGGTACCGTCTTTTGACATATAATTGTTTAGGATTTCGATGTCGATTCAACGAATAGGTTATCGTCCAAAAAACCACCTAGTCGCGTTGAAATTTTAAATAAGAGCGTTCAAACCATTGACAGAATTTGTTATGAAGTTTAGTTGCTGCTGTCGTAAGATAGTATTGATGTTACTGTTTCGTTTAAAATAAGATAGACTTTGCCGGCCAAGACTACACACCAAAATTTCAGAAATTGATGTATAAAGTGATACAAAGTTAGTAGACTATAATTTAGATGAGTGACGTTTGTTTGTTTGTTGAATTTGAAGACATTTTTCTGATTATGCAACAGACATCATCAAGTAAAGTGTAACAGTCAATTCTGTTTATTGTGATTTATGATGACTTCAAATCCATTTTACGTTAAACACAACCTTGATTATTTAACTTCATAACGATTACTGTTATTCTTTTATGCTTTAACACTCCAAACATTAGGTGACTTGGTAAATTTTTGTTGTTGTCCAAAAATTATATTTATGCATTTAGCTTATCGAAATGGTTCCCTTTCGATTTATTTTCATATATATATATATATATATATATATATATATATATATATATATCCACAGTAAACTTATTTCTTATACTAACCAGAATTCAACCCAATGACGCATTTTTCTTCGTATCAAGAGCTTTTTCATTCTATACACTTGCTTTCAAAGATCAGATGCAAGTTCGACGATCTCTGCTTTAAATGATAAAGTATCGTCCATCCAGTTACTGAATGGAAATGGTTACTAGGTCTACAGATCCGATAAATGCAAGGTGGTGGTTGAAGGTATCTAACACAAAGCCCTGGCCTGAGGCTTCGTGCTATTTGCGGCTCGTCAGCGACATGTACCTGTAATCTAATGTGATCTACAAAAAATCAATCAGCACGAGTAAAGAATTGGCATACGTGGTCAATCTCTGTTTGGATAGCCCTGTGGTAATGTCTTTGACTATGAAGCTGGATGAAACAGGGTCAAATACGTCAGAAAACATCAGTTGTGTAAAAAAAAGCAGGTACAGCTTGCTAATAAGTCTTAAGTAGCGTATAATCTAGGTCAACCACGTTCAGTCATCACCTCATATCTCAACAAAATGCACAAAATGTTGTGTGACATAAAATAGCAGGCATATTCCAACTTAACTAGTAGAATTTGACATAAATTGTAGTGAACCGAACATGGGTTGGGACAATCGAATCATATTTAGCACAAAGTTACAGAGTTACTTCATAAAATAGAAAAAACCATACTGTAATACTTAATTTGTAAAATGTTCAATAGTTGTCTCGAACTTCGTTGTTCTTGCATTTCTATATTAATTACTGTCTATTCCTATTCTTCTTTTCTTGATCTTCCCAATCTTCTGCTGCCAGACATTACATTCCTAACTCGCATCATATACTACTTATATCAATATAAGTAGCACGCATCACAACATGACTTTAATTATTAGATCTGATAAATAACTATAGAATAAAAGTCAAAAATATTTATGTTTTCCTGTTGTTTTTATATTCAATCATAGTTAAATAAGGTTTATCTGTTATATAGAAAACTGTGTACAAACAGTAATGTAACTAAATCACTCTTAAATATAATCAATAAGAAAACATTTAAAAAAAGTTATAACTCCTTTTCTCTCTTCATAATTATTTCTAACCATCAAAACATTCAAACATTCTATTGTAGCTTTGATTCATTGTTCATTTGAAATCATAATGAATTTATGTTTATCATTATTTTAAACTTAGCTCTTTTCTTCTTTTTCTTGTTCTTCTTTTTTTTTAAAAAACAAACAAAATCATTCTAAAATACAAAAAAATATAAAGAAACAAATTTCAAGAACAAAAGAATTCTACCGGGGGGTAATAATAACCCCTTTTTTTACTTCTTTTCAAATAAACTAATCATCATCATAATAGTATGAACTCTTAAGTTATAATAGTTTATTTTAGGTTAATTGGACAATATATAGATAGATATAGTTTTTTCTAGGTCATAGAGATTCTTATCTATTGAATATGAGAAGATAAAAGTAACATCTATAAATTAAGCATTTTATATCATAGAAATGATTTTACTTTAATAAAAGATAATAACCTGATTATTATTATTATTACTATTACTATTACGATTATTATTATTATTATTATTATTATTATTATTATTATTATTATTATTATTATATTCTAGTAATAATGTTTCAAATAGTTTTAGGATAAAAGAATGTTTCCTAATATTTTATATTCATAGTCTAAGTCTAAAGAGAAGGGTTAGTTAATTGTTAACAGAATATAATGAATCTATTGTCAATATTCATATTAATAGGTATATTACTAGAAACTAGATATAATATCTCTATGTTCGAATGTATTTGTATCATATTGAAACTATCAGTCAACCTAATTTGTCTTCAAATTTAGAGATTTCATTGGCTTTAAATATTTACTAGTTTTATGAAGTTATAATGGATTATTTACTTATTTACGCCTGTTACCGCCAATGGAGCATTGGCTACTGACCAGCATTCTCCAAACAATTCTGTCCTAGGCCTAGGTCTGTTCAATTGTTGTTCATTCTTCTCATGTCTGTTTCCATTTCTCGCCGTTATGTGTTCTTTGGTCATTCTCTTCTCCTTTGGCCTTGCGGATTCCATGTGAGAGTTTGACTTGTGATGCAGTTAGGTGTTTTCCTCAGTGTGTGTCTTATCTACTTCCACCACTACTTGATGATGTTTTCTCCCGCTGGAATCTGGTTTCTTCTATCCCACAGTAGGTTGTTGCTAATAGTGTTTGATCAACAGATCCGAAGTATTTTGCGTAGATAGATGCTAATTGACTGTTGAAAATATAAATTTGAAAGTATTTCATACATAACATGTACACATAACATATAGACTATGATAACTTAGTTTGATAATGTCAGAATTTTGTTTTTAAACCTCTTAGTAAAATTCACTGTCGAGTAATTATTTTACTTTGAAAATTCTACAAACTGTTATGTAATACAAGTTACTCATTGATTGAAACATTTTTGCACAGTGATTGGTTATTTAGTAGTAATCAACCTCATATTTGTCTTGTCTTTTAGTATTAATAGATTTCTACAGACCAAGTACTAGTTTGACCATTAATCTAAGTTACTCAATATTGTTTGCATCGGGAATCTGTGTCAGATGGTTCGAGGTAATCGATTGGAAAGTGTGAACTTAGAGTTTGCACTAGCTGGCAAATGTCAGAAAATCGTATCAGCAATCTTGAGAGAAATAATACTATGCATGAGGTTGAAACTTGGGACACTCAACCATATGGTTTGATACCCTCTTACTGAGCTACTTGAATCAACACTGTCATGCTTTAGGAATATATATATATATATATATATATATATATATATATATATATATATATATATATATATATATATACTTTGTTACACTTGGTTAATTCTAGTCTAACGTTTGTAGTCAAAATAAAAATTATCAGAAAGCGGTTTTAAGGAGATTGTAGTAATTTAAAAGTCGAATTCACGAGTCCATTATAGCTAGACTATCATGGAAAACCTGGAAGCACTGGGAGTAGGTCGGTTGAAGCAAGACATTACCACCTATAGATGTCTAATTATTGGTCTACAGGTCAAGCGTTCGCCCGTGATACCGATAGATCCTGGGTTCGAATCTCGGAGGATAGGATTATGGATGCGCACTGCTGAACTGTCCCATACTACGAAGAAACAGTCGTTCGATGCTTCCAGATTTTCCATGGTGATCTAACTTTGATTGACTCATGAATTCAACTATTAATTTATTTTTTCCTTCCTATAATAAAGTTTTTTATACATGAACCTAAGAATAACATGGCGTTATTAATTATAATAAAAACATTAAAAACTTAAATGAATTATAAATGCAAAGAATTAAATATGGAAACAATTTTCTTTCACTATATTATACTTTCTCATTGCTATGTTTCTTTTTCTGTTTCAAAAACTTAAAAGTTTCATATTACTTTTCATGTTTCACTACTACTACTACTCTACTACTACTACTACTACTACTACTACTACTACTACTACTACTACTACTACTACTACTACTACTACTACTACTACTACTACTACTGCTACTACTACTACTACTACTACTACTACTACTACTACTACTGCTACTACTACTACTAATACTACTACTACTACTACTACTACTACTACTACTACTACTACTGCTACTACTACTACTACTACTACTACTACTACTACTACTACTACTACTACTACTACTGCTACTACTACTACTACTACTACTACTACTACTACTGCTACTACTACTACTACTACTACCACTACTACTACTACTACTACTACTGCTACTACTACTACTACTACTACTACTACTACTACTACTACTACTACTTAGCATTAATATTATTTGAACATTTGTCTACTAAGTAATTTCTTAAAATAAAAAAAAATAAAAATAACAAAAGTACATAGTTATCTTTGATTGACATAAATAATGTGTTTTCATATATACCATTGTAAGACTAATAGATGTTTATGGGAAAAAAAACCATTTCTTTTTCTTCTTTATTTAATTGTAACAAAATGATATACCACTTGAAATGAATGAAATGACTCTAGTAATATATATTTACCTCATATCATAGTGTTTAGATGGTTTTAATTTAGGTTTTTATATATATGAGAAATTTACATAATTTCTGTCTATCAATTGCCGGTAAAGAAAATAAATATTAAAAAAAAAACTTTTCTTACATTTTTATTTTTGTCTTTCTTCTAAAAGTTAACTTGATGACTGAACTCTATTTCATGTCATAAACATTTATGTACACTTCATTATATACTCCAAAATACTCTATTGTATATTAGCCTAATGATTTCGATATAAACAAAATTAAAATCTATTTCTTCTCATATATATATCACTTACACCTGTTACTCCTCGTGAAGGAGCATAGGACGCTCATCAACATTCTCCATCCAACCTTGTCCTGGGCAATCCTTTCAAGCTGTTTCCAGTTGATATTCACCCTTTTCATATCTGCTTCTATTTTCCGATGTAATGTGTTCTTTGGCCTTCCTCTTTTTCGCTTCCCTTCAGGATTCTAAGTTAGGGCTTGCCTCGTGATGCAGTTTGATGATTTGTGTAATGTAATTCCCATCCACTTTCATCGTCTTTTCCTGATTTCTTTTTCAGCTGGAGACTGGTTTGTTTTCTCCCAGAGAAGGCTGTTGCTGATGGTATCCGGCCAATAGATGTTGTGTGTCTTACGTAGACAGCTATCTATAAATACTTGTACCTTGATGGTGGTTGTAGTAGTTCTCCAAGTTTCAGCTCCATACAGTAGAACCACCTCGACGTTCGTATTGAAGATTCTGACTTTGATATATATATAGACTTTTAAATTTTTCGTAAATAGTATGTAAAAGGTTAGTAGTAAGTCATACTTTATTTTCGAAAATACTTTCAGTTGTGTTAAGAAAAAACAAACCCATTAGAGTAAATCAGTGAATTAAATAACACCTTTAATTGTAACATACTCTCTAATAATTCACTATATGTGGGCAAAACGTTTTGTTATGTTTAGTGATTTGAACAATTGTAAAACCGGTGATATTTCAAATAAATCAGCAACTGTATTTATAACACTTTAGAATCTTATGTAAACACTTTTTGAGGAGTAAATGATCTATAACTTAAGATGTGCCTGAATAAGGAAGTAAACAAATCAAATCACTTTAGACAAGTTTAAACAGGTTGTTATAATGCGTTTCATGTACAACAGAATTATATGTTCAGTACTTTTTGTACGTACTACTTCTTGTGAGGTAAAATTTAGATAATTATGAGATTTAGAGTACAAATGATGAATTAATTTGAGAGTAATTTTTCAATTTAGCTTAGATCACATTAGTTTTAGGTAGTGATAGTTTTAACATGAAGTGAATTAGCTCAACAATATATTTTTCATCAATGTCAAGGGACAATATGATAGACAGTAGATTTGTATGTTTAATTTGTATATTTTCATGTTCTTCATAGTCACTATAACCCTTTGTGTGGTCTAAATGTTTTTAAATAAAAATATATAGATTTAATGAAAGGCATGTTTATCATAAACTTGGTGTAGCCTGGCCATTACACATAGTCTCGCGTTGAAATTATTTTAATTTGATTGTTTTCAAACAAAATAAACTATTTTAGAGAGCGTTAACTGATTTATGGAAGACTTTGGTCTTATATTGTTGTAAACTTCCTTTGATTCTTTTGTATTTGAGATAATTAAGTTTCTTTCTAAAGTTTTGAGAATAAACCGTAAATATTATGTCGGTAGCCGAGGTAAACTCAGTAATAAAGAGAATTCAAGCCATCGGTGTTTGAACTGTTGACGTACTGGTTTGTTGGTCGCCAAACAGATTTACTTCAAAATTCAGAGTGAAATTCTGATATCTCGTTACTAATCAATGGAACTATTGTTTCTAAAATAAACATTAAAAATAGTCGAATTCAAGAATGTTAGACAGAGAAATGGAATTTTCATCTGTCAATAAACTTTGATTTACGGTTATTTTCATAAATGTTCGGCAAAATAAAAATACTTTCCATAAAGAATTACGTTTAGACTATTTGATTAGTATTAGTATCATTATGGTACACTTCAATAACAAGAAAAGTAGCTTATGGGTTTTATTGACATTATATTATTATAATATAAGAGTAATATATGGATGGACGCTTCTTTACAAAATTAACTAAACCATAAAATAACTGAAAACTATCGAAAAAAACTATCTCTCTACAGTAAACACTTTCGAAGTCAAAATGGACTGAACATAGACAATCAATCTATTCGGTTATAAAAACTAACTTCAAATCAAATAACTGTGGAACATAGGATTTCAACTGATTATATAATACGTTTAGGACTTTTCAAAGATTCTCTCACTAACTTTTATAACTGATAACAACCAATTATAAATTTAACAATCTACACAATTATTGATTAGAATAAAATAAATAACATTTTTGATCTATAATAAAAGCTTCAAATCCTCAAAAAGAAAAACATTATGAATTTTAATTATTCTAGATGTCAGAATGGGTTTTGTGGAGATTTTTAGAAATTGCACAGGTTGAAATCATGAGTCATTTGAAGCTAGACCACATTAGCAAACCTGGAAGCACTGGACGGCTGTTTCGTCCTAGTATGGGACTCCTCAGCAGGGCGCATCCACAATCCCGCACCCCGCAAGATTCAAATCCAGAACCTACTGGTTTCACGCGCGAGCACTTAAACATTAGACCACTGAATCGGCATCCAACGGTGTTAATGTCTAACTTCAACCCATTCACGAAGTTGCGCCACCGTAGATGTTTTAATCAACAGACTTACTACTGACTTTTGTTTCACAATACCTCATATAATCTTTTATTAGATAATGACTCACTTATTCCTTTTAGAGAACAATATTTTATGCGTCATAATCATCAAATGATAAGGGAACTTTTATGCATGTTTCTTTAACAATTGATATATAAACTAACTTTAGATAGTTCAATTACAGAAAGCAACAAAACTAATAATAATAACAATAAAGAAGTAATATTAATTCGTAACTTTCGAAGAATAATAATAATAAACCTCATTGAAACAAAGAAATTGAAACTTGTAAATGTCATTTAAAATCTGATAGTTGGCTCCAAACTGTAATGAAAAACAAAAACAAAAAAAATAGATTTTTTATAGATTCTTTTTAGTCATCATAAACTATGAATCAATGAGAAATGAAAAAAAAAGAAAAAGAAAAAGAAAAGAAACAACGATAATATTTTCTTTTAAATTTACATCATTGTGTCTTTTTCCTTTTTTTTCTTTTTTTCTTTTTGTAAAACATTCTTTTTTACATAATGTAATACATACATATTCTTGACATGTATAACATTGTTAAACGACATTTTGTTTGTTTTTTTTAAAGAAAAAAACATACATTCTATTTCTCTTATCAAATAAGTCAAACCGGTTAATGTAATATGGTAACTAATAGTAAATGAGAATGATTTTGTTGTTGTTGTTGTTAAGGCTTAGTTTCCTTACATAATATTATATCAATGAGATGAACGTTAAATGTCATGTTGATCAATAATAAGTTTAGTTTTTAGTAGAAAGTTTACTATTTTGTCATGATTGAATGTTAATTATTAGAAAAGTATAAAATTTCTTTGATTAGAATAAAAGAATTGGTTAATAGTATAAGGTTAAAAACATTAAAACTTATAAAATAATCAATAAATTGTAAAAGAGAAATTGTAAATACTTTCTTTATTACCTTATGATAAAGTAAATAATGTTAATAATAGAACTTATTTCTTTTAAATAAGAGAAAAGAGGACTGTTATGATGGGGTGGTGTTCAAAATCTAATACTGATATACAGTGTACTGAGCGCTAACCCCCCTTCCCTAAGTAACTATTTGAGTTAGGAAACAAGAGTGAGAGAGAAATTGTATTGGGTTGTTGAATAAAATGTACAAATACTCATTCATATATATATACAATTTAGTCATTAGGAAATTGACCCATATCTTAGACAATGAAACGCAGTTGTCTTTTAATTCACTTCTGATCTCCATCGATTGATCATCTTACTAGGCTACTTCTGATTATCTCTCCATATCATTAACATGTTTTGGTATTCTTTTAAATCTGTATAGACATTGTTCAGTACGTTAATTAATTAAATATACGAATGAGTTTACATTTAACAATGGGTAGCACTGAACAATGTTCAATAGGAATCTTTTATAAAAATAATTCTAAAATCTTTAGACTTTATAACGATAATTTTATAAGATACAAAGTCAATTTGAGAATCTATACAGCTGAATCATTATGTAGATATTTCTAAGTAATGGGGACGTTAGATCCCCAAAACTCATATTTTGTAATTTTATCTTTGTGGAGCTTGTATGCAGATGTATGGTTGGGCACTTCTTACCACCCATGCACATAGTCGATTGACTAACTTATCGATTAAATGTTCAAAAACTTCCATGGCAATATCGATTATATATATTTTGTATAAATACGCTTGATTTGTGTGCTTGAGGAACCTTGTATTTCTGGTTGTCTGTAGAATACACTTTCTACATCTTACCAAGACTTCTGGATCGAGTTAGCTGAGTCGGGGACAACGGACCAGTATAGCCTATTGAGTCTCTGAATCATTGATTCTTTGTTCCATTCAGAGTAAGACGAATCAGTAGTAGCATTCAAGTTAACGAACATAACACTAAACGAGATATAATCTTCAATGTTACTAAGTACAAATTCACAATGAACTGATGAAGCTATACTATTTATTCTATCACACCCAATAAAAACTTTAAATTAATTGA